AATAGAATGTGTTTAATAGGGATACTACGAGTAATAGAATGTGTTTAATAGGGATACTACGAGTAATAAAATGTGTTTAATAGGGATACTACGAGAAATAAAATGAATGTATCAAAGTAAATATAAATACATGTGTAATTTGGTGTAAAATATGGTATTTTTGTAGGAAATATTCATTAAGGTAAAGGTAAGGTGAAAATGTTTAAAGTTTTGAGAAAAGAAAGAAATTGATAAGTCTCAGTATGTTAATTGTATTGAACAAGGTTCAGTAATCCTGAACATGGTAGATAGATGTGGTTCCCATACAATAACTAGAATATCTGTGAAATGATCCAGAATGTTTAGTTAGGATGAACCCTGAAGTAGAGAAGGGTGTCGCTTCAGAAAGTTCCGTTGGAATCCAGGTAATTCAGATGTCTGTATGTTGGGTAAAAAGGGGTCCTGCAGGGTACATGGAATAAGATGTGTTGTTCTGGAAGAAAAGTATGGTCGATCCATGCTACAGATTGATGACTTCCTATATAGGAGATTTTACATTGTAGGTTTCAGGAGGAAAGTTGATGGTATACAGACGCCCTTTGATCATTATTCTGGTTTTGTGTATCTGTAGGATACGTCATTAAAATAAAATCTTAAATGCTGGGGTTCAATTTTCACAGGGTCAACAATGAAATACAGAAAAGGTGTAAAAAAAAACACCACCTTTTGTCAGCCCCAAAGTTTGGAGGTTTTGCCAAAGTGTTCAATGTTCATGGAATCTGTTTTAAGTGAATTTCAGGTTTAGTGGCCACGATACATTGAGCTGTGGTTGAGATTGATTAATTTGATATTAATTTCACGGGTTAAATTGTCTCAGAAAAATTGTTTTTCACAAAATTTAGATCCTGAAAAAAAAGTTCTTTAAAGTAGTCCTTTTGTTAAATGACATCTTAAATGAGTGGTGTGTTCTTACAGGGCTATTTCGGCCTTCAATTTTATCTCATTGTAATGTCTGTAAACAATATAAAATCCAGTCACCTTGATATGGCTTGACATTCTTGATTTCACAATAAGTAGGTGATAGGTATGTGAACCGCTTTCCATTTCAGGTAATTTCAAGTTTTGTTCAAAAAGTCTTTCACATTTTCTTTGGCCAAAAATGAGGCACAGTAGTCTAGTGGTAGGACGCCGGGCTCGTAACTGAAGGGTTGCGTGTTCGAGTCATGTCATGGCATTGTGTTGTATCTTTAAGCATGGTACTTTACTCTGCTTGTTCCAGTCTACTCAGCTGTAAATGAGTACCTAGCTGGGCAGTGTAAGAATTGTTGAATGCTAGCTGTGAGCGCTGAAATAGCAGCACCTGTTGTATGCTCCCCAGGGAGTTGAGAAAGATATTGGCTGTTTGCAAAGGCTCTATAACCACGAATAATAATTTGTGAACCGCTTTGAGGCGCCCTACGAAATAGATTGGGGAGGAGGGGGAAGGTTACATTATGAGAAATTTATCACGTGGGTGACCAGCAGGCTAGGAGAGAAATTATCAAGTATGTAAAGTAGACAAAATAGGTAACAGAAATTATCAAGTATGTAAAGTAGACAAAATAGGTGACAGAAATTAGCAAACAAGTACTACATCAATAATTACTGATAACCATTGATTTGTAAGGTAATTGCAATACTAATAGCACCAACTATCAGCTCATCAGGGCGGGACTGGAGTTAGCTAGGGATGTTGTACATTCAGGTTAATAGTTGTGGCTAGATTAATGGCATTGCTGTACGTAAAATAATATGATCTAGTGAGCTTGTTTACGTGTATGGACCAGTAATGTTATAATATCCCTGTATTAATATTTGAACCTTTACATGTCATTATCTTACCACATTTCCTTCAAAGGCCAGTTAGATTTAAATGATGTATATGTCTGACAGAATGGCTGCGTGTCGTATGATATTATTGTGTATATATATGTACACCCCCTGGTTACTTCACTCTAGTATCAATAATTTACCTGAAATTATCAACTGCTGTATGTGTTGCAGTTCCTTAACCTGAAATCTGAAATTTATAAAGCTGTTACCTAAAATACTTTTAAATGTCCAAGAAAAAAAAGCAGATTCTTAAGTTTCTGAATATATATTATGGTGTCATATACATGTATTTGAAAAGTTCCCCATAAAATCTTCTTTGAATGTCAGAGTTCTCCATTAAAGACAAAATCTATTGATTTTTGATTACCAGTTTATGTATAAAAGATTTTGTATATTGATATGGTAGATTTCAGTAAATATTATGACGATTTTAATTACGTACTCTCACATATTTTGCCCTCTGATTTACGAGGCATGTTAGCTAGTCTAGTGATAGGATGCTGGGCTCATGACCGAAGGGTTCCAGGTTTCAAGTCACGTCACGGCACTGTGTTGTATCTTTGAGCAAGATACTTTACTCCCCTTGTTCCAGTCTACTCAGCTGTAAATGAGTACTTGGTTGGAGTACGTGGTTGGGCAGTGCTGGAATTGTTGAATGCTAGCTATGTAGCTGTGAGCGCCAAAATGGCAGCACCGGCTTTATGCTCCCCTGGGAATTGAGAAAGATATCGGCTAGTTGAAAAGGCCCTTGTAATAAAGCAGTATATAAGAGCCTCAAATTATTATTATTATTATTATTATCATGACAGCGAAATTAGTGCACCACAAACTTTATAAAGGGCCACATATATACACTAGGTGAATAAGGATTTCACTAAATACGGATAAATATCAGGAGGTGCTGGTGTAGACAGAGAATACATGTCAACACTGCCATAGCTATATATCACTAAAACCAGTAAACAATCCTTTTATTCCAGGTAAATTCAAGCCTCAGGCATAGCAAAATAATTAATGTTAAAATTACTACCAGATTTGAGATCATAATATTTTTATAATTCTTCGTTTGTTTGACGAGGTTTAGGAAGAGCCATTGGCTACGAGTTGATCACCACACAAGTAACACGTGAATTCATAATACGACAAAATTATACATACATACACATACGAGGTGGGGTGGGGGGGTGGGGGGGGTAGAGATATTCATGATATGAGGATACAATTTGATGTTGAGTGTTGAAGTTTAGTGTAGTGGGTGGCCTTTTATTCACTAATAATTTCAGCTCTGGACATATTCTAGGAGATCTGCTTCATACCAACAACAAAAACATGGCTGTCATATTGTAAAGTCCACCTTTCCATATATTTGTGTTAAGTTTTTAAACAGTTGCGTGGATCTTTAAAACTGACTGATTGTATAACATTTTGGATTTGTTGGCTTTGCTGACGCTATTTGATAATGGTTTTTTTGAAAGATACGTACCTAAGATTATATGTACCTACCTTTACTCTCATTACTTGAGTAAAGCAATAGATATGCAATTGAAAAACAGTGATAAAAATGTTGTAAACATGAGAAGTATATTATTCTAATACAACATACTGGTACATTAGTTTATAAGTTTGTTAGTCTAAGGGTTATCTTAAGCTTGTTGGTCCAAGGGTTAACATGTTGGTCCATAGGTAAACTTGTTGGTTAAAGGGTTATCTTAAAGAATATCCTTGAGAACCAGTGAGTATGGTATGACAACTGGATACTGGGTTTAAATTGTATAATATCCTTGTGAACGACTAAATGACACTTGTTATACAATAAATAACGTATGACAATGGTTATACAATAAATAACGTATGATACTGGTTATACAATTAGTAATTTATCACACTGGTTATACAATAAGTAATATATCACACTGGTTATACAATAAGTAACATATGACACTTGTTATACAATAAGTAACATATGACACTGGTTATACGATAAGTAACATATGACACTGGTTATACAATAAGTAACGTATGACACTGGTTATACGATAAGTAACGTATGACACTGGTTATACGATAAGTAACGTATGACACTGGTTATACAATAAGTAACATATGACACTGGTTATACCATAAGTAACATATGACACTGGTTATACAATAAGTAATGTATGACACTGGTTATACAATAAGTAACGTATGACACTGGTTATACAATAATTAACGTATGACACTGGTTATACAATTAGTAATGTATGACACTGGTTTTACAATAAGTAATGTATGACACTGGTTATACAATAAGTAACGTATGACACTGGTTATAAAATAAGTAACATATGACACTGGTTATACAATTAGTAATGTATGACACTGGTTTTACAATAAGTAATGTATGACACTGGTTATAAAATAAGCAATGTATGACACTGGTTATACAATTAGTAATGTTTGATTCTGGTTATACAATAAGTAACATATGACATTGGTTATACAATAATTAACGTATGACACTGGTTATACAATAAGTAACATATGACACTGGTTATACAATTAGTAATTTATCACACTGGTTATACAATAAGTAATGTATGACACTGGTTATAAAATAAGTAATGTATGACACTGGTTATACAATTAGTAATGTATGACACTGGTTATACAATAAGTAATATATGACACTGGTTATACGATAAGTAATGTATGACACTTGTTATACAATAAGTAACGTTATACCATGTGTTGATCTATTTACAGGTGATATTGGAGAACAAGGAGGCCACCATTAAATACAGTCCAACAGAGACCTCCCCTCCAATCCTGGCCGAAACCATACAGAACATGGGCTTCCCTTCAAAGGTCAAGTCAGTGCATCCTGCCAGCACTGACCAAAGCAACAAGGAAAGTGAGGTTGCTCTGATCAACATCAAAGGGATGACCTGCATGTCATGTGTGAGGAACATTGAAGGTCGTGTGAAGGACATTGATGGCGTTGAATCAGTATCAGTGTACTTGGACAAGAACCAGGGTAAGGTGTGTTTTAACCCAGCGGTTATATCTGGGGAAAAGATTGCAGCCATCATCGACGATATGGGGTTTGAGGCATGCTTGGATACTGCCGGTGACTTGGTTGCTAGGATACAAGTAGAAGGTATGACCTGCCAGTCATGTGTGAAGAACATCGAAACAAACATCTCCAAACAGGCCGGGGCCAAAGACATCAAAGTTTCATTGGCGGACAAAGAAGCCTTCATTATTTACGATCCCAAGGTGACCAACCCTCTAACTCTGGCAAACCACATAGAGAACATGGGATTTGAGGCCTCGCTACCAAGAAGGAAGGAATCTTCATTAGAGGCAGAGTTTGACATGCTTGCTAACCGTGGAAGATCTGGAGGACCAGACAGGTGTAGCATCTCAATCAAAGGAATGACCTGTAATTCGTGTGTCAAAAGTATTGAAAGTAACATCTCCGATAAACTGGGCATAGTGAGTATTACAGTGTTACTGGATAGAGAGATGGGCCTCGTAGAGTTTGACCCAGGTGTAACCAATTCCGACAAGGTAGCTGACATGATCGATGATATGGGTTTTGAGGCAAAGGCATTGAAAGGGGAGGACGGAACAACAGATGTGTGGCTGGGGACCAACACTGCCTCGACCACGCTCAACATTCGCGGGATGACATGTAACTCATGTGTAAAAACGATCGAGGATACCCTGGGTAAGAACTCTGGTGTGAAGATGATAAAGGTATCACTGGCTGAGCAGACAGGAGAGGTAGAGTACTACCCAAACAGGATCACCCCCCAGATGTTATGTGATGTTATTGAGGACATGGGCTTTGATGCCTTTCTGCCAGGTAAAAAAACATTCATGTTTCTTAACAAAATGGAAGCATTTGTTTGGAAGCTTTTTTAGCTCACCTGGTCTGAAGGACCAAGGTGAGCTTATGCCATACCGTGGCGTCCGTCGTCCGTCCGTCGTCAGTCCGTCAACAATTTCTTTAAACGACTTCTTCTTCTTAACCACTGGTTGGAATTAAACTAAATTTGACTGGAAGCATCCCTAGGTGGTGGGGATACAAAATTGTACAAATAATGGGGCTGACCCCCCAGGGGGCTGAGGGGCAGGGCCAAAAGGGGTCAATTTGCTCATATTGCTTTAAGCGACTTCTTCTCTGGAACTAAGAAGTTGATATCAACCATATTTGACTGGAAGCATCCCTAGGTGGTGGTGATTAAAAATTGTACAAATGGTGGGGCTGACTCCCCAGGGGGCTTAGGGGCGGGGCCAAAAGGGGGCAATTTGGTCATATTGCTTTAAGCGACTTCTTCTCTGGAACTAAGAAGTGGATATCAACCATATTTGACTGGAAGCATCCCTAGGTGGTGGTGATTAAAAATTGTACAAATGGTGGGGCTGACTCCCCAGGGGGCTTAGGGG